TTGTCATAGTAATCACATTTTCATTTTTAAGCATTTGGACAACTAGAACCAAAGTTACAGCGATTTTAATTAAATTTAAAATGTTTCCGTAATAATGCCAAAACATATTTCAAACCATTTGCACGACCTCTCAGCATTCATCCTCCTTTACCGTATTTTGGGGTTATGAATCAAACTGGCGTACAACATTTGTTTATTTGTTTATTTGTAATGTTTGCATCAACAGACTAGAAATAGTCCCAATGAAAAAAAAAGTACGGATTATACAGACAACATATACCTACTACAGTTACAAACGAAAATAACTAGGAAAGCATTGTCAAGTTACTAAAAATGTATAAGTCATAACAAATAAACAAATAAACATCTTACACTTATTTTCAAAATGAAGCACCCTAAATACATGCTTACAGGAACTTTTTGATGCCATCCGTGTTTTCGTTCTGAATTATAACCAACCGCACTGATTGAGGTTTTATTTAATGCTTCCCAAAATTGTTCTTTAACAACCCTCCTAGTTTCTTGAGGAAAAGTGAATTACTAAGCGGTTTTTAACTGCTTCTACACCTAAGGGTAGACCTCTATTCCCGATAAAGCAATTTTGTAAAAAGTCACAAACGTGTTTCAAACTTAAGTACTCTTTAATACCCTTCATCAGCTAGTAACTCTTCAATTCATCGTCAGCATTTCCATCTATATTTTCCCACGTGCTACGAACGGTCGTGGTTCTGTGATTGTTTGTGTCTGTCTTGTCTTACGCCATCAGCGTTCGTCATTACCGCATCGCGGAGCTGTGATAATCCGTACCATTAACTGTGCATCGCTCGCCATTGCCGTGCCCTTCTTGTGGGAACAGATGCTTCTCATTCCATCGACTGATGAAAAACCTCAAGTAAACACCGTTTCTCAACGCTACAGGAATATATTTCTTCCACAAATGCATCTCTGCGTTTCCAAATTGTCCGCTTATATATATATAAAAAAAAAACTTTCACTTTCAGCACGTTCGTCTCCGTCTAAGTTGTCACCGGTTGATTTCTATTAGCATTAAACGAGTTTACTTGTTACGCACGAGACAGACAGTGATTTAATTGAATGATTGTCCCACCGCACAGCTGACCGCGAATAATCCCGAAGGAGATCCCTAGATACCTAATCTACTAGCTAAATTATTACGATCAGTCAGTGCAATGAACTATGTCTATGTTTTCACAGCAGAAATCTTAAACAGTCCCACTTAGTCAATCCAATCATGAGGCAATCTAAATGTCGTTTGACAATAAATGAAGAAAATATATGACTTTCATCAACAAATGTTGTTGTATGAAAAATGGATGTAATGTCGGCCTTAATGTCCCTAAGTTGGGCCCATACATACATTCAGTTATCGACTAAATTTTCAATAGCGACCAAAAATATCCATTAGTACCGTCCCAAATAAAATGATAGATAGCAGTATATAGATAGTTAAAATGGTTAAATAGCAGTTTTTTAGCGATGGGCCCAATCTTAGATCCATAGGCCAACATTAGAGCCATTTCCCCTATTATGCTTCGAAATTCAAGTAGTGTTAAATCAGAGTGCTCATTATTCGCAAAATTGTTTATTGAATATTGTTTATTGTAATAATAATTCATCTGACATATGGTTGTCTAAATGAATTAAAATAATAATAATAATAATGTTAATAACCTGGTTTTTGAATGCTCATGTCATTTGATGTTTCACATTATGGGTTTTATTCGATTCAGGTCGAATTTAGTCTCCGCCATATCTCCAGAACCAGAAGACCGATTACTAGAATTTTCAAAACCGTTCTATGGGACTGTGATATCTTTCATTTGGTGATTGTGCCTAATTTTATTACTGAGAAACACGTCTTATTTCTTAAATTCCGTATTCACCGGAGTTTGTGTCGTCCATTCCCAAACCGGGTGAACTATTAATGAGTGTCCTATGGGACCATAATACCATTTGTCGCAATTCGGTTTCGTGTTTGCCGAGATACACTACTTAGTTCTAAGAATCAGGGTTACTTCCATTGATTTTGCATTAAAAAAAGTTGTATGGTATTGTGGAATCATAAGATGTTGAATAATATTTTGTATTTATAAGTTGCACTAAGAGATTGTCAAGAATGTATTGTACACATAAAACTTGCCAATTTTGCTTTCAAAGAGTCACAATCAAAAATTTTCTGATCGCTGCTCTCGAGGAATGATCCCATAAAACATTATTTTGTGCGTCTGAAAAAAGGTTGCCGACTGGACTCGAACCACAAACGTTGCGATTATCAAACCTGTGCTTTCTCCACTGTTAGACAACCCTGAATCACTAAACTAACTAACTGAATTGCTTGTCAAGAAGAGACAAGCACTGATCTTTAAGAACTATGCTAACGTCTATCCATTGATTCCCTGTCACGACTAACTTTTGACTTTCCACTCACAGCTAACTCCACTGAATCCCCGTCACGTCTATCCGTTCACTCCCCCCTCACAACTAACTCTTAAGAGTTTATAATAATATTTCTTACGCACAAATTTTAGTTCTAGTTCGCGATGGCTTTAAATCGCTTGACTCGTAGTTTGTTCTCTCGTTCTCAGTTTTTGTTTTACTACCGAATCTTTCTTCTCCCGAAAATCATTCGTTCGCTTAGTAAGTGAAAAATTTTAACGAATTCGGGTACGATCTGGCATTTAAGTAGAATCGATTTGCGGTTTTTGTCGAAGTTGTTCTGAATAGTTTTCTCACTCTCAGCCTCAGGTTTTGTAAAAAATTAGCAATTTTTGCATTTTCAAGCAATTGCATTGCTTTGGTTCGTTTCCCATACATTTCCTCCTACAAAATTTAAAGCTTTCTCGCAAATCCAGATCATATCCAAATATGTTAGAATTTGGCACAGTTGCTGGTTACAGCGCATCGTATGAATATTTACGCTAATTGTTCTCTAAACAAAAGAAGAGCTTCTAGCAAATCCACTTTTTCTTCCATTTTTAGTTTTATGAGAGTTCTGTAAACCATGGTTTAGATTTGTAGAATACTTTCAATCCTCTATAAAACTTGCAATGTTGCTTGGGATGTAACTAAATCGGATCTGATACGAATAAAACCTATAATGTGACGCATCAAATGACATGAGAAATCAAAAACCAGTTCAATGATAGTCCCCAAATAATCATTGAAATCGATTTTGGCAAAGTTTTCCCGCAATCTAATTGGTAGAATTTATATAATAATTGATTGTAACTGACATGGATACACATAAATTATTTCGGAAAACGCCTATCTATGAATCTCCAAAGTGATCATCGATGATCAAATCATGATTTTCGTGTACACCCAACCCTTTTTTTACACGGTTTTATTTTCTTTTTTTATGTTTAACTAGAACCAAGCTTGATTCAACTGAAACAGAAACTTTTTAACTTCACAACAGAAAATAAAATTGTAAACATTTACCGTCGCAAAAAAGGATTGGGTGTACACTCAATTCTGTTTTTACGCGATTTTATTTCGCCTCTGTTTTTGTTCGTGTGCTCTCAATTTGCAACGAAATTTAGTGAAATGTGTTTAAAAAAAAACAAGAAATTAAAAAAGTGATATTCAAAATGCTGAATTCTCCCTGCAAGAGGGCAAATTGAGAAAAAAAAATTGCGTAAAAACAGAATTGAGTGTATTTTGCGAACTCCTACCGATTGAATCTGCTTAAAATTATGAAAAAAATCATGTATAATGATTATCTGGACCAATTTTCTAAATTTTTTTTCAAAGCCATAATAAATTTTAACATGCTAAAACCATGTTTCGAAAACTACCAATGTTACACACATTTTTTTTTCATGGCTTCCTTATGTTTATTCCTGAAGGAGAAAATCACATTTCCATTTATGCAACTGATGCAACTAATTCTTTATTAGGCTCATATTTTACTTTGATAATGAGGCTTCCAAACACGCTTCTTTGTTTTTCGAAATTGGGAAGAGTAATACCTTTTATAGTGTCCTTATATTATTTTACGCTACGCGCAAATCAAATTCCCATAAATACCATGTAAGGTTGGATTTATTACAACCACTGTAATGGCAGTTCTTGCAGCATACATGCAAGTTTTTCCAGAATGCATAACAACAATCAAGAAACATTGCAAATTCGGTAAACTTTTCATGCAAATCTGTTAAAGAATCTGGGGGTTGGGTGTAGTGTATTGATAAAAAGAGTCTATTCTCCCCATAGGTGGATTAATTCTGGTTTTAATAATGCGTTGTTGAGATGATCAAAATACTAGTTATTAAATAAGACATAGCAGCTCCCTTCCCTAACCTATCTCCGTAGCTTATCAACAGACCATATGCTTTATTCAGTTGAAAAATAGAAGTACATCTATTTAACCTATTATTAGTTAATCTTAAAGTGTTCAAATTAGCCCGCCATGTCATGTAAGTTTTGCACAATGATCAATAGTAAAGTAATAAGAGAATACATTAATCTTATATATTCAGTAATGGAAATTCACCAATGTATTGGACAAACATCATGTACTTATTCATTATTTGAACAGATTATCATAATGGATATATACATACTTATGTTGTTTAACTAATTAGCATATACTGGAATGTACACAATTCCTTTGCTCAGTATAGCATGATTAAGTGTTACATTGTCACTACAACTGTTTACATCATGTTAGACACGCTGTACTCAACAATATGCTGGCTGGTCTGTTCAAATGTCATTTCCTATTTGAATTGTATAAACGAACATTTACTCCGCTCCCCCGAATCGATCTCGAAGCAGCCCATTTGTACTGTATTCAAATCGCACGTATTGCGTATATGCTAACGGGAATGTAAATATTTGTTCTCTGGTTTGGTTAATTTGCTCAAGACTTCGTGGCTTTTTTTCCCTACCGTTACATAAATCCCTAGATAGTCAAAACAAGTTCACACGAATACTAATCGAATCCGTACAATGTTCTACTTTTTTCTTCTTCATAGATCCGTATCAGCTGATAATCAGTATGAAGCAGATCGGGAGGGATCTAACGAAATAATTCCTCCCCCACGTTACGTTGAGTTCCTGAAAGCAGAGCGTGATGAAATTGTAAGTGATACTATCCTACCACCCAGGTACATCGAAGTGCGCAAAGGGCGCATAGTGCTTGAAACGCAGAAGGTTATCGATTCAGATAATAAGACTGATGGCAGGGATCCCTTTACACGGCTCGCTTTCGGGTCACCAACATTACCTGATCCACCTGATGGCTACGAACGGCCCATGGTGCGTAGTACACCTCAGTCACCGATACACGAACGTGGCAAATCGGGAAGCATCGGAACTAACTGTTCGTCCCGATCGGATCCCTGTAAAAATGCGGTAAGTACCTATATTTTACGTTCTACTATCCTGCACCAAACTGAGGAGAAAATGTTCACACGTGATTGTTAAATTTGCTTACATTCCCACGCACACACCATTTTAAATTTGACTGGCGCTGGAAGTAACTTCTTCCATATTAAAAATACAATGGTCTTATTTCATCGCGAATGCCTACCCTTTTCTGCAAGGAGGAAATGCTGTGCAATTTCTAATTTCACCGTGCTTCAAGTAGGAAGGAACAGACCAAAACACAACTCCCCAATAAAAATAGCAGGATGCTCCTTCAGGCGGAACATTTCGGGCTTGTGCGCCGCTTGATAGCGTCGTATCTTTTGCACAGAATTTCTGTTTTTTTTTTAGAAAACATTTGTTCCGCTCGGCTGAGATCGTAACCATTTCGTTGGGTTCTTTGCTCGTTATTGCCATTAATCGTGTGAAATGTAGACTAAAGGTTTGGGAGGGTTTTTTTTCGTTAGTGTCAATTAACACTCTTGGGTCATATGTGACTTATCCGGGGATGATATTCGAACTCATGACTTTAGCGTGAGAGGAATAGATGTGAACCACGACGTCGTGGCCATCCTTTTAGTGGGTTATTATTTTATATTTTATTTATTATTTTATATTTTATTTAATCACGAAAAGCCCGTTAAAGCATTACGTAACATATTAAATTAATGTTTCAATTCAAGATTTTTAGCCGTAAGCTAGTTCATCTCTAAATAAACAATAATGTAAATTTTCTATTGATACACCAAAGTATCATGCACAGTTTCTGACACCTCATTGTTGATATCACTCTCCAACTGTTCGCAAACCGTAATCTGTATTCACCTCTTTTACTTTGTACAGTCAATGATATCTGCTGCTGAATTCACTTTCTATCGCCTAGCCAACCGAAAGCAGTGATCATATTCCACATTGACCGACATGCTTGTGGGTTTTATGACTCGAAAGCTGATCTCTTTCAATACCACCTCCTACAACTTGACATGTTCACAAAGCACGTGGGAACGGAAGACCTTTGTTGGTACTTTTTACGGAAATGGATTCTCTCTTTTGGTGTGTTCGTCCAAAGTCGCGAAAGCCACAAGTAGCATTTTCCCTATTTGTTTGACTTGTTTCCCCATTTGCGGGTGAATGGTCTGTATGCCGTTCAAAGAGGAAACACAAAAATCGCTAAGCAAATTACTGTTCGTATGTATGTACTTACTTACGCCGGCAGCATTGCGTTTAGACAGGAAGTCTCGCGTAAACGCGTTTGTGATTGAGAATAATAGCAACGTCGAGTGAGCACAGAAGGGCTTGATAACAAACGATGGTACCAAAGAAACACTCATGATATCATCACTTTTCACCATCCTCCTTAGTCTCCACCTGACTCAAGCCGTTTACAAACACCTTTTTGTGTGTTAATAAGTTAGTATTTTTTTTTGTTGGCTTGTAATAAATTGTTCCAGTCGAAGAATGCAATTTTGTGGAAAGATTCTCGAGGCCTGTATTTTCCTCCCCCAAAAATATGTAGCAACAAATTTTATGCTTCCTGCACTTTTGTTTGATCGCACACCGTAAACGGTTTCTGGGAAACTGTAGACAATGTAGCACTTGAACTCGCTAGCCGAAATGAGGCAAACAAAATCATGAAATTCATAATAATAATAATAATGATACATGGTACAGGAGTCATAACTTTGCGGTTGAAATATTTTGAAACCCAGCAAAGCTTACCTTAAGTACCGAGCATAAATTAAGGTGATGTGTTCGTCCCGTTCGTATTTTTTACACTTTCTATATTGTTTTGAATCCAACCATAGTGCTTCTGTGTATGACGGCATAAGTGTACGAAGGGTTTTTTCCCTGTCTGTTTGAAACCAAATTCTCACTCGAAACATAATACTGATTCGTTGTAGAAGCAATATGTTAGACTTCTTAAAAGGAAACAAATTTTGTGTGTATAGGTGCATTTCTACGTTTTTTTGTTTATGTTCATTGGAACTTTGAGTATCTCTTCTCTACTAAAAGTTTAATTGATCGTCGTGAATGCCAGTTTTGTGGACTCAACTTGGATTTCTGGCATTAATTTCGTATGGAATTGACAAATAAACTTCGTAAACAGTATCCCAAGAGCACTTGTGCCAAAGCTGTTACACTTACCTTTTCTTGATTCGAATCTTAGGCTTATGTTTTTTTTGTCGAAAATTTATCATAAGTGACACTATTCCAGAGTCAGATAATATCTACATATATTACCGTCCAATGACATCTTGTAAAAGCTTTCCACTTTTGGCATCATCTAAACAGGATTCCCGCTGCATCATGCTCAATACATTACATAACGGTCAAAAATACTGCAGAAATCAATTTGCGTGGTTAATTTATACTGATAATAAATTCGAGTGCGCATAAATAAAACTCAAAAAAGCGGATTAATGTCATTTATTTCTGTCACTAGCATATTCTTCTTCGTGAATATGTACGCGGCAATAACGGCCACTCCATCCAGGCTGAAGCGTGCGGCTGGCGTCGAAGCAAAAATCTGCATCAGCAAAAATGGTTTTGTTTGTTTTGCTTCCCCTTCAGCTGGCATCCGACGCGGAGGATGATTTTCTACACCGCACTTTCATCATAGCTGCTGCCGGACTGTATTCGAGTTCAGTTTGTCGTCTTTGCAAACAGTGCGTATTTACACATTCCGGTTTATTTTGCATGCTCATTATATTTTTTCCTTCTTCTAAATGATGTTATTTTTATGGAAAGCCTCCATGGATCCGTTGCATTGGACACCGCGATGACGGAAGAAAACGCGATAGAATCCGAAGCAGCCGCTGCGGGGAGTAATTATTTCAAGATTGCCTGGAATTTTAAAGATTTTATTTTTATCCAAGAATTTGGCTATTTATTTCCATCCATCCATTGCAATGACTGGGGCAATACGGACAGAAGCGTACAATTGGTTTTGTCGAGTAAAACGTTGATCACACACAGTATCATTGTACCTTCACAGGAGCACATATATCAGGAAGAGAAGTGCACCAGTTATAGCACTCAAATATGCTCCAGTTTTGGCAAGCACCAGTCATGGTCTACGTTAATTAAATGGGCAGGGCCAAGAACTAATTCCATTGCGTATATGAGATTGTAGAATAACTGGTACATATGCCATAACTGTCTCACTTACCCTACTTTATTTTTATATAGGGGAAACTGGACACATTTTATCCCCTCTGTTTTCAGGTAAGTTTCCGTAAAGCTTCGTCTTGACGGAAGGTAATATTATGGTAAAATTTGCGTCAGATTATGTATATATTTTAAGAGCAGCTCGTATATTTCACTCCCTTTGAGTTTTTTTAGCCAGCATGGAAGTTCTTAATAATTTTTTTGTAAATAAAAAAAAATTAAAATTTCAAATTTACACAGCTCAAAGCTGTGAATAGGTAGAATCAATTATAACTCTTGAAATGGTGCGTTTCTTTTGATATTTTGTTCAGTTTGATTTGAAGTTGAAAACTCAGTTTGGAGATACATGATCCCCCAAGCACTGCACTACTGATATAGGTCATTACTTCTCAAGTCACCGAGAAATTTCATAGACCCACTCCGATTTGAACCAAAATTGGTGGGTCTACTTATTTTACGCCAAAAAAAAAAAAAAAAAGTTTTGTGCCAATCGGCCCACTCTCGGCTCTGGAGGCTACATGTAATTTTGGGCCTATTAATCACAACCTTTACTTTACCTCTCTTTTTCGAGTGGACGTTTACACAAATTGGAATGTTTCTACTATAGTTTATCACACCGCATTTGATAAGTATTCTGAGAGAGAGCTACCAGAAACGGTTCTGAAGAGGAGCTACTCCTGCCAGAACCTCGAGACGCATGTTATGCATTGACTGCATACAGCCGAGAGCAATACGCAGACAACGATATTGAATTCGTTCCAGATTTTATTAGGTGGCTTTTTCTTGTCGATAGAAAGCAGAAAGAACCGTATTCTAGAACAGAAAGAACTGTTGTTTTATAAAGCGTTACGAGGTCTCCCGGATGAGCATCTTACCATGTGCCGCAAATTAAACGTAGAAAGTTGATCCTCTGCTGACATTTTTGTTTCAAATACGTAAAATGTTATCTAAAGAACTTTGCAATGGTCCTTGCAAGTCCACGGCATGTGGACCTCTAACGGAAACCACACCGTCATCTGCAAGTTGTTTTAGCGTGCATTGTTCTGCCAGTTGTCGATATCGTTAACATAAAAGTTTTAAAAAAGTCGGCTGAGACATGAGCTTTGGGGCAGACCCATATAACTAATTCTGGAAGTTGTCAGTTGTTCAAGAGAAAACTTCATTTGATTTTCTGACAACAAATTGTACAAGTTCCAAAAAATTCCAGAAATTCCATATCTGTGCAGATTGTCTGACAGAATTACAATGAAATCTGACTTGATAACAAAAAGGTTTTTTACGGAAGTAACCTCAGTTGCGTCAACATTAGCTCAGGTTTGGGTTAGTAGAAGAAAAAGGTGTTTTCCCAATGGATAGTCTCAGCAGTAAGAAAGAAGTTTTTTTTTCCTCTGTTTGGGACCTAACACCACTGCGACCAGCAATTTGATCTAGTGTAGTATATCCCGTGTCCTTAGTTTAGTGCATGTCGTATTACTCCATCACAATTGAGAAATGATAAAGTATTCATTTTTTTACATTTGTCGCAAGAATCCGACCCTAATTGAAAGGTCCCGCTATGTATACTCTTCGGAGTGTTAAAACATCTTCCAAAGGCGCGCTCCTTTGTCAGTCAAAATTGGATTCCTTAGCAACAAAATTAAGGAATGACACCGATAATGCCGATGCATCCCTGTCTTAATCACTTCAAACTATGGAACAAAGAATATAAGATTAGGAATCACGTAGACTAACTAACTCATTTTTCCTTGTTTCAAGAACATCCTCGGTGGACAAAGCCGAGCCTTGTCACTATCAACAAGGCATAAAAAGTAACAAGGACT